CATCATCACCTCCCTCTCCCTGTTTCATGTTACTCTCGCATACTTCTTCCTGACGAACCCGGCCACCATCGCAGACCAGGCGATGGTGTACGTGCTGGGCGAGTCGATGGGCATGGCAAGTCTCCAAAACTTCTCTTCATTGTCCATTTCGAGCGCTGACGTCTTCTCTTTAGCCCCATGCGCGAAGCTTCGAAAACAGGTCTCCCGCTCTCGCTTTCCTAGCTGTTGTGCTTGGAATACTGGGCATCAGCGATCTCGTCACCCTCAGCATGCCCGAAGAAGTCTGGCTGATCTACCACTGGGGAACACAGGGTAAGCAGCAGGCCCCTCCTTCTTATGCTTGTCGTCTGAAGCAGTCTCTCACAACCCAACTGTAGCACCAACGCGCATGGTCATGTCCTTCGGTTTCGTCCTCTATACCTTTCTCTTCGGCCCTTCGTCCCCCCTTTATGGTGGAACCTCGAAAGGCGGTAGTCGCTTCGCCCATCCCTCCGTACAGTCGAATAACCCGCGCTATACACCTTCGACCTGGGGCGGTGACGGCCTTAAGAACCGCGTCTTCTTGACCTTTGCCTTCCTCGAGATGCTGTGCTGGTTCTGGGTCTGGATGACCCTGCGCGAAGAGCAGGAAGAGTTCCAGCGTAAGAACCAACACAAGAGGAGGGGCAGTCAGTCAGGGTACAACTAGGCGACAAGCTTGTCAAGTGTATTGAGCTGCGATATGGAGGTTCTGAAGGCGTCGCATTCGCCCAACCACAGCAACGATCAGACGAATATGCTTCCACCCTACCGGAAGGCCCGGGCCGCTTGCGTGGCCCCTTTAGCATTGTGTGGAGTTTTGGGATGGCAGGCGCTACGAAAAAGAGCATACCCGGCGTAACAATCATTTGATGTACGACATGACGGTTTTCTATATTTGGGCTCCCGAGCTTTTGAGTGATGGGCTCCTACTCTAAGTTACTTGAAACAAAACAGTGAGTTGGTATGGGCTACATCATGAATGAAATGAGGCGTCTACTCCCATCGCACCGATTCCCAACCCTTCACATTGGTTCGCCAACTGTCGGTTACCCGCTGTGACCATACACCAATGTGAGATCCTGCCAACTCGCGTATTTGTTTCGACAAGTCGTCACCAGACTCTGTCTCAAACGTCCAAGAGCTCAATTTGGCATTCAGCGTGTTGCTTTCCTGCTTCAGGAGCGCAACCCGCGCCTTGCCTTCCGCAAAGGCCGTGCCAGCCGCGGCCTCGAGAGCCTTGACTTGCGCCATCACATCTTTGGGCACGTTGCTCTGCCCGGAGCGGTCCCTCTCCTTTTCACGGTCGTTGAAAGTCGCGATGTAAGACGTCGCCAGCTTCACGGCAGCAGCAGCGTCCCGCAGAATTGACAGACCGTGGAGCGATCCCAGCATCAGTAGTGTCTTGGTCCCTTCTGCACCGAATGGCGTAGATAGTGCTTGCGCGCGAAGGACCTCCAAGCCAGACTTGATCGCAGACACGATGCTTGCGAAAAGCTCGGGAGGGGGCGGGCTGCGACTGGCAGAGACGGAGAGGGGGATTAGGTTGGCAAGAAGTGAAATGACCTCGTAGTAGGTTTCCTCCTGTTGAGTGAGATTCTTCCCGCGCGTGTGAAGGAATCTGCTGAATGTGTTACCCAGCCGCTGGAGGGATTCCAGGACGAAGGTCAGCTCTGCCGCGGTCGTTTGCGCAACGTTGGCTACCTTGTAAGACGATGCGGGCTTGAATGTCATGATCTCAAAGAACTTTTCTGCAGCGAGAGCCAAGTGGGAACGCAGGTTCTGGTTGAGACGTTAGAAACAGTTCCTAGTATATGGTGGCAGGGGGCATACCGATGGATCAGGGCCTAGCCGCAGAACGTCGTATATCGGGCGGCTCGAGGCAGCCTCGAGGTTAGGCACAGATCCGTAGTCGATGACTTCATTCAGCACAGAGCTGTCGGCGATTTCTTCTGCAAATGACAGTCAGCATCAGTGGACACCAAATGGTGATCCAAAACAGTCAAGACATCACTCACCGATCGCCGGCTCTTCAAACATCGAGTCGCTGCGGATATCCAGCGCTCGAGCAGCTTGAGACTCCTCCACATATCCCATCATCAGGGTGCAGCTTGACCGCAGTCGCTCGGTATAACTAGGGATGTCGAGAATGGCAGTGTAACTCTCGGCCTCGAAAGCATCAGCCAGCCTTCTAGGCATTCGCAGCTTGAGTGACGCCCGGTAGTGGGATTTCAGTCCCTGCATCAGCCCTCTTTCAGGTCTGTTGGGTGGAAGAACCAAGGTCGGCGCGATAGTTGATAGGCGGTCAAAGAAGTAGGGGCCGAGCGAATCAATAATGGTGCGTTTGACGTCTGTGGTATCCCACACTTCACGGGCACGAGAGGCACAGCCAAGCACAAGATAGATGCGCACCAGTACCAATGTGAGTCGGGTGTGCTTTGGTGTTCTGGTGAGCTGGTCTTCGATGATGAGGGCGGCCTGAAGCAAGCGGTCAGGTCTACCGTTCTTGGAAAGAGAGGTAGGATTGTCGATGCCACGCTCGTGCGCGCCGCTCAGCCTCACACAGCATGATGCTGCAAGGATAGCAAGTTCCGGTACGCAATCGAGGTGGCCGATCTCAGTAGAGTTGATGAGGGAGGAGTACAAGGTCAAGGTCGACTCCAGGAGTTTCTTGACACAGGCTGTGCAGGTAGATGACTTGCTGGTGGTGCTGCAAGTGATACACTTCCAGTTGTTTGGTTTCTTAATATCCTCATTCCGGACACGAACGAGGGCCTTGGGTGAAGACAGTCCGAGGTACTGCAGCTTGTACGCAAGCGCTTTCACAGATGCTGATCTCGCGGCATCCTGAGACTCTTCTGACAATTCAACGAGGAAATCGTATGCCAATGCTTTGATCTCCTGTGGTGGTAACCGCTCGACAAAGCCCCTGACGTCGTCGAAACAGGCGGGTGATTCGCACTCAACCTCGATGTATTGGCGCAGTTCCTCATATTCGTTCGATTTAGCATCCGAGCTTGGCTGCGTGCTCTTGGGGAAGAGAAACGCTGCTTCAACCTTGGCCAGACGGACATTGCGCTTGTAGATGGATCGTACACCCTCTTGAGTCAGGAAGCGGTTGATGAGTTCGGAAACCTCGGTCGAAGCCCTGCTAACATCAGCCAAAGTTGTCATCAATCAAAGGGTCCACCTTACTCTTGGGTTTGTCCTATCTGGCCAGCCGCATTGAGAAACTTCTTCCACACCGCATAGTCACAGGCGAGGAGGCTCAATTTCTGGTTTTCGTCTGTCGTTGACAAGCAGTCCTTGCACAGGTCGTAGACAGTTTTCCACTGTCCCTTCCGCTCGAGAACTTCTATGGCTTGCAAGAACAAGTCTTTGCGTCCTTTCCTGAATTGGTAGACAGGGTTGAGGGTTGGGCCCTTCAGAGCCGCCTCCCATTCAGCCGTAGAACCATGAGCCTCGAGAATGCGGTAAAAGAGAAGGATCTCTTCTTCCGTCTTGATGGCTCGGTCGGAGACTTCGCTGTTCTTCTCGGCACCGCTCTATCAGCTAGGTTAGCCGCCATGAGGAATAATTGCCACCAATCTTACCTGTTCTGCAAATTGCGCGGCACGCTGCATTTGCTTCAGAGCGAGCATGCCATAGAGCTGCTTCTTTCCAGCTGGACATTGCTCATTGGTCTCGCACAGAATTAGCGTGCTTTGTGGCTTTTTGATAGTATCAAGAACTCACAGCTAGCAGATGCGTAATGGCGATATTCCAGAAAAGGAAGCTCCTTTCTTGAGGGAATGACTTGTCGAGCACTGCTGCAATCTGTTTGCCCGTATCAGCATCTTGTATCCTTCAGAGGCTCAGGACAGAGATGAACTTACTTGCTGTGCGCTAACCAGATCCCAGTGTAGCAGACATGATTCCAAGCATCTCGTACCACCATTTTTGTCCTTGGGCTTGGCTTTGACGTAGCGCAGCTTCAGGGGGCCAAAGGTCTCGGAAAAGTCTCGGTCCTCAATGAACTCCTCTGAAGCCCACTCAAGCAACTCCAAAGTGTCAGGATCTCTCACGGCGGCCGGATCCTGAGCCAGCTTGCGGATAGCAATGAAGGGTGACGCCTTCTCCAACGGTGAGTCCAACTGACTTTCGGCGCATATTTTCACAGCCTAAATGGTGAGGTTAGTTCTATTTTTGGGTTCACATTTGGCGGTGAGGTAAGAGCAAACCTCAAAATAAGGATCCTTGAAGGTCCGGAATCGCTGCTCAGCGAGACGGATGGCGTTGGCCCATTGTCCGTCATTGAAAGCCGACTGCAGCTGCAGATCGGTGCCGCTCCTCAGCTGAGGCCGGTTCCAGGACATGGTGATGCTTCTGATCGGATGGCGGGGCAAAATTAGCTTTGGAGGGGCACTGTGCTGTAAGAGTGCAGCTGGAGCTTGTGAGACGTTTAGGGACGGGCATTGTGTCGCTTGATTGGTCACTCGGGTAAATACTCTTCCCGAATTGCCGGCTCCCCCACGTTTTAGGATTCCGGCGCCGTTCGCCGGCCGCGTTCCTCCCGAAAGCCCGACGCCAAATCCGGCCGACATTGGCGGTTAACCTGAAAGCCCGGCCATGGATTTTGCGGAGATGTCTAGACTACTGGATGTTACAAAAAATATTCATTCAAGTGAGGCACATCGACCGCCGTCATCGAGTTCCAAAGGCAGGTCATCCCTCTATGGCACTGCCTGGACTTGGGTAGCCTGCAGACACATGGCAGACTTCCAAGAGCACCCAAGGATCCCAAAGAGAGGAGCTGGTATCTATCTTGAAACATGACCTAATTACTCATACATATGATTACTCCATTCCATGCATGCATGTTGTTTTACAGAATGTACAATGTCGTATCTTCTTGCACCCGCAAGAAGTTTGTCGACTAGATTCGGTTCGGATCGTCTCGGTATCATATCGGCATCGGCGAACGTCAATTGCACCAATTCACATCACCACCAAGCACCCTGCGCCTTTCGGTCTGCCTTGAGCTTGTCGAACTGCCATGGAGTTAGTGTCTGGGGATACAGCTGGCGGCGCCAACGGAGTGAGGGGGGAAAGCAGCGCACCCAAGCCTTCTTACAGTCTCGGTATGCTCTGGGATATCAAGTCAGCCCAGTATTCTCGCGCATATCAGAAGGCAGCCAAGAGCCTCAAACAACATAGAAAAGGTAGTAACTCCGACTTACTGAAAGTAATCCCCGCACATGGTCCTATCTCCCCCATTCCGGTGCAGGCATTTGATGCTCTTCTGCGCAAGCTCTTGACAAGGATCAAAGTACTCGCTCTTGGCCTTTCTACACGATATGTTTGAGCGATTGTCACAAAGTTGAACGTGACGTGCAGGCCGGCCTACCCTTCAAACTTGGCCTTGCTCTCGGTATAGGTCTCGTCGACTTTTTCGGGTGCGGCCGTCTCAGGCTTCTGAGGTTCCGACATTTCGACTGAAGGTATTCGTTCGCAATTCACAGGGATTTCTCAATCGGGGTCTGATCTTTGGTTGCTGTCGGTCAATTGGTGCAGTGGTTGAAAGTGCGATGCGCTGGTAAGGTCATTGGTGTCAGCGCAATGCGACAAACATTTGCGTTGGTGACGTTGCGATTCAAGCAGGTGCGCGTTACGATAAGATAAGAACTACTTAATGCCTGTTGCTCAGGATGGAGTCCTAAGGCATCAATCATGACCATTCTCCAATCTCTCATTCGCTGACTAAGGGAAGAAGAATCAGTGAAAATACCCCCGGCTGCCAAGAAGAAGAGATGGTAAAAAAGCCTAAGTGCAACGAGCAGCAGAATCCCATTTGAAGCGAGCACAGGGCAATGCCCAGCAGCGAGAGAACCTTAAGATCCGCTTCTATGGTTGACTGCCCAGTGGCCACGCACCGGCTCACTTTTGCTGTCGACAAATACCTGGCAAACACTGCGTTAAAGGGTGGGCATCCGGCAAAGCCTGCCGTGCCTGGCCGATTTTGCCGACAAACAGAGGCCTTTCCTCAATAAAGTTCAAGGTTTTCTATAACTCTATCGTTAAGGTATCCGTAAACCGCATTTCTGGATAACAAGTGTTGCTCTTGTGCATGGTGTTTATTTTGACCACATTCGTCCCTCTTTTTCTGCGTCAACAATACTATGTGTCCATGATGCTTCTTTGTTGATTGTCCACCTACGCCCATCCTCTTCTCTCTCTTCCCCCTCTTACTACGCCCTATTTCACACAAACACACACAACAGGGAGAGTGGCGCATACAACCTCCTTTTTAGTCTGTTTTTCTCTTTGAACACCACCGCGCTGCCCATACGTCCACTCCCCAGTTCCACCTCCCACCGGCATCCACCGGCACGAAAGATACACCTTGTTTACTTCTCGCTGCCAAGAACCGTCATGTGGAGGGCGACTGTAAGAGAGACACACCGTTGCTTTTGAGAGCCACACCAATCGCCAATCTAACACAAGCTCGATTCAGAAGCGCTGTCATGCCCCGTGTCTTAGTCTAGCACGAAGCTTGAGTAATACTGCGTTTTTGGTTGACTGAAGAGTTTTGGCAACTTATTAATACCCTACACGTCCACCTCAGTTCCAACCCAGAAGGCATACGAAAGTCTTGGTATGGGTACGAGTGCGTCGCGTTTAAAGGACTGCGGCAACTCCCCGTCCACGGATCCCGCGGATGATGTTTTCTTATTCAGCAGAACCCGGGGCCTAGAATCTTTCCGAGCTTCCAAAGTTCCCACAATCGCAACTGTACTCACCTTGCCGCCCCCTATTAACTCACACCGCAAAGAATTGAGCGGTGGGTGGTAGGAATTTGCAGACGGGATGCAAATACTCCGATGCCTACCGCCGGCCACCTAATAAATTTGTACCGCCGCAGTCTTGCTAGCAGGCATCACCACCAACATCGGGCGGATCTGCCAGGGTCTTGCGAAATGAGTTTGCCATGCCCCCCCCAAGTTGGCCCGTCTCCCGAACCCGGCATGGTTTTTTCGAATCAGTATCCACCGCCACATGCCCAACTGGCAACTGGTCACTTATGTCCATGACTCCATACCAGCCTGGGAGGAGTTGGCCCCTTTTCATTGTCAAGTTTGCTCTTCAGTAGCAAACTCGCCCCCACGGGTTCCTTCCATCGCCTTGAGGAATCTTTCGTCTGCGTTTGCCCGCATGTTTAATTCTTCGTTAGCCACTGGCGGCTACCAGGAACCCGAATAGAGACACAACCGAGTGTGGTTCTCGCCGCTTAACTCGCTGTGGCGGCTAGACTATTCAACGGCTGGTCTTTACTGGAGCCCAGCTAAGTGCGGAAACCACAGAGTCATAATGGTGTACTGTGGCCGACAGCATGAAGATCATGCAACATACGATCGTAGGACGTCACATACCATCATCGTCACCGTATTGTCCACCCTCCACTTCCATCTTTCATGCACAGACACAGTACACCAATTCAACCAATTCCGATTCAAGTGGCCGAGTTCATGCCTCACGGGTTGGAATTTGGGGGTGGGACCGACTTACCAAGAGACCGGCCTCACGGTTTGTCTCAGATCAGGCTGGCTTCTCAGCTCGGTTCAACAGAGGCTCCCAGAACCGATCCCAAAGTTGACTGACGTGCATGCCCGAGCCCGGCTCCGACACACTTTTCACGCCATAATCTCCGCTGCTTTCTCTTTTGCTCTCTCCTATTCTCTCGATCCCCCAACGGTCCCTCTCTTTTGTCTGTGTCACTCTCTCCACCCATTCCCCAGGTCTTTTTTTTTTCTTCCTTATCGGTCACGCTCTTGAACGGAACACCTACGTTTTGGGAACATTACGTTTTGAGTACCCCTTACGGTAGTGGGCGTGCTGCCCTTACGAATGGTTCTACCCATACTCAATTCTCATTAGCCCTTTGTTTCAATAATGAAGGCATCTAGCAAGCAGGTCAAATTCCAGGTCTAACCTCTGAAGACTGGCCATGCTATTCATTCACGATTCGACGTAGCACTCTGAGGCTCTGAGTGTTATGTCCAACTTGTGATGACCGATGCTAGCGCCGCGTCGTGCATCAACGACCTGAAACTGGGCGATTATCTGCTTCCTTCTGCATTCTACTTTATTAATGCCACCTCCCCACTGCTCCCTAAGAGCCTGATAACAGAATTGACAAGCCGTCAAGTGGCTCCAAAGTCCACCAGTAGGCAGTGAGCCACCAACGAGAACGTCTCCATTTGTTCGACCATGTTTCTCAAGCGAGTGCTTGACCAGCTACGGATAGAGGATGATGGCCCTCGAGGGTTCCCCTGTCGGAAACCAGGAGGGGGTGTGGCCACTTGACCGGGTCTCCCAGTCGCTCCAACCCCGGGAATCAAGGCCCAAGAAGGTTGTTTGGGTTAGCCGCGCCGCTGCAAGGGGCCTCGTCACGATCCACTACCACCATGTTTGCATGTTTCACGACCCCATCCTCACTCTAATCGCAACGACTTCATTAATGAATCCATCCTCGGTTGCGGCCGAACAGCAGGGCTTGACAGGGCCTGGCGGGATCCAACATGTTATCCACGGGCAGAACACCCCACGGACCCATTAGCCTCATCTCATTCTCTACGTCTTGCAGTGTTCCTGCAGCTCTTGGCAGGAGAGGAGGATGAGACGAAAGACTCCATCGTCGTCTACGCACCGTCAGGGCAAACCCCTGCTCTCCACGAGTCCACATCAACACTTTGTACTGCGGACTCCTGTGTAAGACCACTTGAAGTGGTCAGGGGCCCTGGCAAGCTGTCTTGCTGGGCAACTGACGGAATCGCCAGCTCTAGCCGCGCGATGAGGGGGCGAGATACAGTCCTAGATTGGCTGCCTACCTTGACTTAGTGCGGTGAGATGGGCCTGGGTCGGAGATGGGCATAGATGATTCGAGATTGAAGCAGGAAAGACGGGCTACTGGCCTACCCTACGGCTCGGGAGATGTTGTGAATGGGGCTCTAATTACATACAACCGTAGCAGCATAGACACGTCTTATAAAGGTCCCTCGTCCTACTGCTGATACCATCTTGTCCTCTCTCTCTCTTTTCTCCATCATCACATCGGTGTCATTCTTTCCCTGTACTCAAGTCTCTCTCTTGTTGGCTGTGCCATACACTCATTTACGAACTAGACGTTCGCCCACGCTCACTAAGCACAACCTCAATAACACTTTCACTTCAGATCCAACCACTTTTCAACCGAAAACTCCCCCATCACCATCAAGATGCAGTTCTCATTCACCGCCGCGGCTCTTGCCACCCTCATCGGCTACTCTGCTGCTCACACCCTCACCATCGACGTCTGGGTCAACGGCGAGGACCAGGGCGATGGCCGTTCCACCGGCACCGGTACCACCAAGTACATCCGTTCCCCCGATAACAACAACCCCGTCAAGGACATCACCAGCGACGCCATTGTCTGCAACGTCAACGGTGCCAAGGCCCAAACTGGCTTCGTCAAGGCCGCTGCCGGTGACGAGTTCAAGTTCGAGTGGTACCACAACAGCCGTGGTGACGACATCATCGACCTCTCCCACAAGGGTCCCATCAGCACCTGGATCGCCCCCTACACCGAGGGCAGCGGTGCCGAGGCCATCTGGACCAAGATTCAGGAGTCTACCTACGAGGGCGGCAAGTGGGCTGTCGAGACTCTTGTTGCCAACAAGGGTATGTCTCCCTCGGTCACCATTCCTTCTACCCTGAAGGCTGGCAAGTACCTCGTCCGTCAGGAGATCATTGCCCACCACGAGTCCGACACCACCTACGATGTCAACCCTGCCCGTGGTGCTCAGTTCTACCCCGCCTGCGCTCAGTTCGAGATCACTGGTACCGGCTCCGATGTTCCTCCCCAGAACTTCGACTTCACCACCGGCTACAAGTACACCGACGCCGGCATCCACTTCAACCTCTACAGCGCCGATGCCTCCACCTACAAGGCCCCCGGCCCTGAGGTCTGGACCGGTGGCTCTGGCTCCGGCTCTGCCCCCGCCTCTTCTGCTGCCGCTCCTGCTGCTTCTTCCACTGCCGCCGCCGCTGCCACCTCCGCTGCTGCCACCACCACTGCTGCTCCCATCGCCACCTCATCCGCTGCTGCCCAGCCCACCACTCTCTCCACGGCCGTCAGCTCTGCTGCCCCTGTTGCCAGCTCCAGCTCCGCTGCCGCCCCCGTCGCTACTCCTACCAAGGCCCCCAGCGCCGGCTGCAAGCGCCGCCGCTCCCGCAAGGCCCGCCGCTCTGCTCACTAAATTAGTGCTGCGCAGCGAGGCATGGAGAGAAGAAAGAGCTGCAAGACTAAGCGGTCATAGATGGTCTCACGAGTCTCAAGTTGGAATTGTTCTTTTATCATAGACACCAGATGTGCAATCCAGGCTTACTGTGTCATGCCCGGTGCATGGTCTAGAGGCATACGAGTTTCCGTCTCTTGGAACTCGACCTCACTTCTGCATTCCTGTACATAGTACCTTGAATAGCATTAAGCCTGCATATACCAAAATTTTAGCGTTCTAATGTTCAGTGACCTCCCAAGACTGTTTCCAATGGATATCGTAAACGATTAACAGCCCAGTTAAGCACGCAAAGTGTACGAAATGGGGTATCTGATACTTTCCCATTCTGTTCTTCGTAGTTCATGACTCTGCAAATCCACTTGAAAGCCCCTGATGATAGCCAAAATGGCTTCAACACCCCAGTGTAAACACGTCAGCCCACTAAGGCAAGGAGTAGGTATCAAGATTGTGCGGGTATCCCACAGGAGCCGAGGGCCTCAGAGGCAAACTACTGGCTGCGCGTATTAAAACATCAATTGCCGTTACAGGTTGATGCTGGTCTTATCGCGGACCAGATCGGAAGACTAAAGAATGTCGCAATTAGATCTGCCAAGCAAAGGAGGCAAGGAAGGATGTTGACTCAGGATCCATGTTATTGTGGTGTATTTCATATGGCTGTAGCTGATCGTCCAATAAACTTTCAGGTCACCGAAATTACCTTACTTTGTCATATTGTCACACTGTCTCCGTAACTATCAGCCAATATCTTTACTTTCTGGCTCAATATGTAACATGCCACTTGCTGACCCGCGTATTGCAGTAATTCCGGTCGTCTTTGTGAGTGGTATCATCTTCATGGACAAACAGCTTATGTAAACGAGCTATGGGTTCCATGTAAGAGCCCAGATTATCAATTGCCATTTGCACAAAGGAACACCCGATAAACACTTGTAGATCGTCGTATGTTTCCGTGTCGAGTATTGCTATGACATCGAGTGTAACTCACCAACAGGTTTTTGCATGGGTTTTCGTACGTTTCGCGAGAAGCTTGGATTCAAGAAACTAATACTAATGAAGTGAAGGACTGCCGAAGAGAAAAAGAAATCCAATGCCTGACCCGGAACCCCGATCTCGAGATCGGATGGGGTACTGGGGCAAGGATTGTACTTGAAAGTTCATGGACTTCGGGAAGTGGAAGGTTCGTCTTCTCTCCATATTAAGTAAAGAATTTCGTAGATTGGGAATGTTCAGGCGTGCATATCCTTCGCTAAACATTTGTCATCCTGACAGCCAAGAAATCTCGCCACCTATGAAGCCGTGATTTAGTCCTTATTCGATGATTGTCGTCTCTGACAACGCGGTTGCTGGAGCTGCAATTCCTCTCTGATTAAATGGAGTTGGATTCGCCGGACATGATGAACATGTGGCTTTGAGTGGCTGTTTAGTGTCGTTGATTATCTTTGCCACTTACAATGCCATTCTTCACGGAGCCAGGGAGACTAGACAAGGCCATCGCAGAGACGCCTCGCGTGAGCCGGCTTGGCCACCAAGCTTCCGCCTCCACCACGCAAGCTCCAATGCCATAGTAACACAGGCTGGTACCCATAAGACTACTCCGTATGTACAATCAGTTTGCAACGCACCAGACAGTCTCAAAGAAACAATTTAATGTCCGTCAATGATAAACGGATAACGATCAGCCGATAGCAATCCTCCGCCACGTTCAAACCGTGCTTTCACTCCTTCCTAGACAGAAGCTGAACGCCTCGGGTTTGAAGGCGGACGTTGGCCTCCAGGGCTAGAAAGAGCTCAAATCAATCCGCCTGTTCAGGCAAACTTTCACCTGAACCGAGATATCTCTGTGCCTGGACAAAGATAGCGGTCGGAGGTAGCTTACTGAAGAATGCATGTGGTCACCTTGGAAGCGTTGCTCTGAAATGTATCGTCGAGGGTCTCAGGACCCATATATGCTCAGGGACATTAGTGTTACATTCCTAACCCGCAGATGCCGTGCCAAATGGGAACTTCGGGATCTTGAAACGGTTGAATTCCTTTATCATATTGGGGGTCAATCCTCAATTGGCTTTGCTTAGTGTGTAAGAGGTCCTCGTCCTCCCGCGTTTTCCCATCGCTGGGTGGTGGGCCGAAGCTCGACTGGAGTCTTACGCCGGAATCACGGCCCCATCGGAGATCGAAGCTCACCATCAGGGCACAAAGAAAAACGTGCTCTGCCGGGCGCGCGGGAGACTAGATGAACTTACGTCAGAACTTCACATGCAAGGCAGCATGCGGCTAAAGTCCGCTACTAAAGCTTAGACGAAAATACCGGCTAACAATCCATCGCCTTCACGCCTTTTAGTTCCCCTAAGGCTCACCAGACCCCTGAGCTCAAGCGGCTTAGTGGAAGAAGAGCTGGCAGAAATAATGGCCCATCTGTGCGCCTCTTTCTCTTAGGGCTGCGAGGTGGAAGTCTGTTGCTCGGTGCACCATTCACTCCAACGAAATTCCTGCAAGACCCCGGCTTCCAGCCGCAACGGGATCGACCCGGCTCTGGAACCCGAGTAGCCCGGGTGATCAATGCCATCTGAATTCTGCTCAGAGTTCGGACGAGAATCGACGGACCGCTGCAAGGTCTTTGAAGGCTGCAAGGTTGAGGGTGGCTAGCTTTTGGGGGTTCTTGTTCGGCTATTCGTGCGATCAACTTGTCGTATAAGACATCACCAATCAGCTTCTTTGAAGACATTGTCCGACGAACTCCTCGTGAGATCGCAACAAGTCTTGTAAGTGGGATGAGCTCGGAAGTAAACAAACCAGCTTCGACGATAATCCAAACAGACTTCCTAAACCAATCTCTCACTCTGGCGCAAATAGGGTACGACTTAATTCTAGATGGTCAAGGCACGGGGCGAATTTGGCCGAGGAATGCGCCACCGAGCAAGCGCTCTGCGCCGGTGTCTGCAACAAGATTGCCCGAGCGGCAACAGGAATGATAAGGGAGAGGAAGCACTAAAAATCAGCGTGAACGACGAGACATCAACAACAGCAACGCAACGAAGATTAAAAGAACATCGTGTTGCATGTGAATCTTCATAGGTGTAACCTTAACTTCTTGATTGAACCCACTTGCTTTCGTTCCAAGCTCTCTAGCTACATGCTTGCCTCAACCCGTCATCTCTCTCTATATCCTTCTCTTATCCTGCGTTTTCAAATTTAATTTTTTTCTTTTTTCAGAGAGTAGCTCCGATGCCGTTCATAGCAGCAAAAAGATCTCCCACCACCTCGCCCGTCATGCCGTGGCTATCGAGATCACCATCGTATCAGTCACCCACCGGCTCACCACGCACATCACCAAGGAACAGCACATGCGGACCGATCAAGACATGCGGACCTTCAGTAACATACATCCCACCACTTATCGACGGAGCTTGTGGAACCGTACCACTAGCACAGAAGCCGACTTTGCCATTGCTTCATGAGGATCTACGGGAAATGTGGCAGATGATGCCGGGTTTGATGGCTTCGCTAAGAACACACGTCGCCAACCACCGTCAGCACCTTTCCAAGAGCCACCTCAAGGACATCATCGTCCAACTCAGTCTAGCCATTGTGGAAGTTGGGATCGTGACACTCGCCATTCCCCTGTTCATTGTTCTTCCAGGAATCTTGTTCGGGGCTTGGCTAGGAATCTCTATGAGCATGGTCCTAGGACTAAGTTGGTTGATGAACGGAAATGAAGTTATGTCCAGTTGCGACGAGTTTGGAAGCAGCACAACAGACATTGATGATGACGAGGAGAGATGGATCTTCATTGGTGGGATGGGCACGAGGTAAAAACCCTTCTGTTTCGTCTCTTCCACATCAATCCTACAGAGACTAACACCGACGAAGCTCAACACACCTCAAACATTGCACAATTCCTCGACTCGCCCGCCTTTTTGGACGCTCTTTCAGCGGTATTCAGATGGCAACCTACGGGCTGCCCTTCGACATGCTCCTCCTCGCCATCCAGCGGTGCTTCCCTTTCGAGACCCAAGCCTCGCGCGCCCTCTATACCGAGCTCCGCACAGCCCTCCTCGACGCCGCCGTCCACCGAGTCGCCGTACTTGCCCACAACAACGGCTCTCTACCCGTTGCGCACGTTCTCGCTCGCCTCTGCTCCGATATTCAAGCCGAAAAGCTCTCCAAACTCGAGATCTATACGTTTGGTGCCGCGGCTTCCGAATTTGTCGCACCTCTCGGAGAAACTAGCCGCAAGGTCACCCGCTTTGAGGATGGATCCACCGCGGTAGTTGAAGAGCGTGGTCCTCACATTGAGCACTTCGCCTATGCCAACGACCCATTCGCGCAAATGGGTGTGCTCCGTTCTGTTCAGAAGAAGCTTGACGGTCGATTCTGCGGCGGCGTTTTCGTGATCCAGAACCAGGTTCCCCAACCCTCTGGCCACTGGGTTCCCGACCAGCGTCCCGTGATGCTCTTGACAGACTACCTCTCGGCGCTCTTCCCCGATCCTTCATCGCCACAAGCACCCAGTAGCATCCTCGACTACGTCATGATGATCGATCGTGATATTGCCGAGAAGCGAGAGCTCGCTGCCATGGCAAATTACGCGCAGACGCGCCGATCCCGCAAGGACAGCCGCCGCCTCAGTTGGACTGGTCTGGGAGCGACTGTCGGCGGCAGAAGCGGCGTCATGGACGGTGTCACCGGACTCGAGATGGCGAGACGCGGATGCCGTGACTGTGACGGCCATCGCGGACGCGAGGTCAGTTGGCTCTCCAACTACGTGCAAACCGGCTGGATCGTCGAAAAGGAGGCTCACGTCGTCGATGCCATGGGTATTGGAGGCAAGTTTTAACAATCTTGTCTGATGTGGTCTACGCTAGCGTGACCCCTAATTTGTAATGTTTTACACCACTTTTCGTATTCATTGCGCTCACAAAAGATGTTTTATTTGGTTGGAGCTGGAAGACGTTCGAGGGCTTCCCCACTCAGAGGACTGTATTATTTTTTCATCAGCATTGGGCGTCGGGGTTCTTGGCTAGGAGGATATTGAAAGAATCATGATATAACGAGTCAAATGTATTATGGGATAGAAGGGCTGAGAATTATCTCGTCCTCTCCACAGTCCGCTTAGATAGATGCGCATTTGGGACTGGCGCTTCGGAATGAGCATATAGATGGAACAAGGTGCTATTTAGAATAATTCAGACACGTACATCTCCCCAATAGTATGTCTTGATATCCGCCCCAAGGAAGTCGTCATTGTACTCCCGGCCAACCTCGTCGTCAGCAGCACCCGCGCAAACCAACAGAGGCATGAAATGCTCCGCGCCGTAGCGAGGGTGCATTTCGTAGCTGTGAGAGAACTTGCGCCAGTTTGACAGCGCCGTAATGCGGTCTTCCCGCTTCTCTAGGAGTGCGGCACCCGTCAACTCCTTGTTCCACTCGTTGACCTGCGTCCCGATCCTCTTTGCCGTTGACGGGTCTCCCATCATAAGTGAACGCAGCTTCCCCATGTTGTGAAGCGAAGCAAAGCCAGAGCCAACGACGGCGACGTTGGTGTCGCGCAGAGCTGACAGGGCCCGACCCATGCGGAAGTGCTCCTCGGGGTCCTCAGAGGCCAACACTGAAAGCTGAATGACTGGAATGTCGGCGGCTGGGTGAATGAGGAGGAGTGGAATGAAGACGCCATGATCCCAACCTGAGTTGAATGTTAATCTAGGTCTACTGCAGCGCGCGTGCCATTACTCGAACTTACCACGACGTGAATTCATTACCGGTGAGAGACCTTCTTTCTCGAGAGCCTGCTTCAACTCATTTGCGATACTTCGCGATCCCGGGGCGGGATATTTGAGTGAGTATGCCTCCCGCGGAAAGCCGCCGTAATCGTAGTACAGGTCATGGCGATCCCCTGATGAGATTGTTGGTGCGCCTTCTGACCAATGTGCCGTTACAACCACGACGGCTCTGGGTGCGTCTGGTGTGTTGAGCTTCAAAATCTTGGGCACGCGTTTCTGGAGTGATGCGGTGATGGAAGCGTGGCCAGGGTCACCAAGGACAGGCATAGGACCTAAAATGTGTAAGTCAGCAATGTAACTTTCTGCGGTCTTCAACGGAGCTCGGCGTACCTCCGCCGTGCGCGACGCAAATCGCTGCAGCGCGCGTCATTGTAGATGATGATGTTCTAAGTTTTCGTCTGTTGATCCAGTTGACTTTTGGAAATCGTAGAGTTCTAGTCAAATAAGACAGAGTTCTTGTTACTGTTGTCATCCGATGCTGTTCAAGTGCTATTAGACTCTTACTAACCCAACGGATGGTGGGGGGACCAGGAGGCTCAAATAGCAACGGCATCCGTTTAGTTGGCTTCGAACTGGTCCTTTCTCATTGGTCAAAGAGTGATACGCCGGGATTGTCACCGTCCGGGATCAGATTGGTAATACCCGCGCGGGACCACAATGGCAAAGGAATCAAAGCCACGACTCTGCGGCAAATCAGGACGGCTAGAGCTGATTCAGCTGGATCTAATGTGCTTAGAACGGAACATTTTTGATATCAATGGGCGTTGTCAAGTGAGCCACCATTGCTGTTTGATCATGCGTTGTATTACTGTCTTCCCCGCGCGGTTCGGAACCGGGATCGGAATAGCTTCCGAGTCATTAAATGGGTCTTTCGGTTTTCGGTGAATATGAACTACCCGCTGTCAACGTAGGCCTAGAACCTTTCCACGATTCGTTTACACGAAAACAGACACGGTTTCACGGCCACTGCCGACAGCACGGATTCTGCCTCCAATCTCAAGCGGGCTGCCCTCGTACACCGCAAAGTGGCGAGCCTTCTTCGACTGCGACGCTTCAATGCCGAGAATCTTGTAGACGTTGGAGGAAACCAGATCCAACGCCTTCTTCTCGCTCAACCGACCATTCCCGTTCTTCTGCGCAATGCCGGCGAGCAGTCCCAAGTCACGGATTAACCAATCCTCCTCTAATCCAATGGCAGTGACGACACCAGCGTCTAGGAGAGTGTCAATGGCGGTACCGTTCGTGAGAGGAGCGCCGGTCAGAGAACGTCTTTGATCCCAGGTGTATGAGTAGGACTGGAAAGGTGCAAGAAGCACGCCAACACCGGCGTTGGCTAGCTCTGAAGCGACGAGATGAGACTCAGCGCCTCCAATGATGGAGACACGGAGCTTGGGAGACTCCTTGGACTGGCTCTTTGCAGCCAAGGCCTCCTCCACTGTGGCCTTGACTCTGAGAGCGGCGACAATGGTGTCCGCACTATGAACTGTCAGGACCAAGGGCAGCTCTCCATTGACCACCTTCTTGAGGTAGGCCGCCTCTGAGAAAGGATCCGATCCGGTGTCGTTGGTCGCAACTGCCTCCAAGAGGGTGTGTCGGAGCTTGCCAATGGCATCAGAGATCGACGGGTTGTCGCCTCTCTTCGCAGCGAGAGTCAATGTACGATGAACGGCAACGTCCTCGGCCCAAACAGCGCCCTTCTCGAGCGAGTGCTTGGCATCAGTGTTGAAACCAACACTGGTTCCAGAGTGCGTCAATCCACCTGTGAACTTGGGCGCCGAAATTGCCTTGGTGACGCCGTACTTCTTAGCTATGTGCAGCTTCTTGTTGTCGAGAACAAGGCCGTCAAGACCACGACTGAACCCAGTGGGGTTGCGGCCGTTGTCCGTGTCCGCCTCGTTGTCAATCTCGTTGAGGCCAATGAGAGAACCGAATGCAGTGAAAGTCTCGGTGATGTGGCCATTCTTCAGGTCAATGATCTTCTTAGACGAGGACTTGGCAGCTGCAACCTCCTCGGTGCAGGCGCCGATGCACTTGATATCGCCGTTTGAGAAGACAACGTTCACCGTCTCGCTGTTGGCTGTGCTGGCCTCCTCGCCCGACAGCCAAACGTTGGAAATGCCAGTGAAAACGACCTCCTTGAGATCGGTGGTGTCCTCGGTAGTATTGGCCAGCTTGGGGTCGGGAGAAATAGGGCCGTCAAGAGGCTTATTGAGCTCAAAAGGATCAGAAAATTGGGCAGCTCCATCAATCCACACTTGCACAGGCGCGGCACCAACACTCAGAGGATCGCTGTCCCACACAGCAATGTCGGCATCGAATCCGGGCTTGATCTTGCCAATTCGCTGGCCCAAGCCCAACAACTCGGCAGGCGCAGATGTCACACCGGACAGAGCTGCATGGTAAGGAAGGCCGTATCTGTAAGCCTTGGCGGCCTCGAAGAGGACATGCTGGGCGTTCAAGACTGGGTTGTCACTGACGTACACGGGGGTAAGCCCGTTCTCCCAAAGGATCTTGCCGGCGTACTCGGAGCCAATGTACGACTCGGACTTGTAGTACATGTTGTCGGCAAACAGCGCAGAAGCAGGAGGACGCCCACCCCAGACGCGCTTCAGGATCTACATAATCTTGTCAGTGATGAGGCCAGGGACAGGCGAAGAGAAGAGACGCACCTCGGGAACCAGGAAGGTTTGATGGGCGTGGTGGAAAGCCCGCACAGGGAACTTGAACTCGTTGGTGTGGTCGACGAATGCTTCCAGATCCGGAATTGTGTAGCAGTGAGTATTGATGTGCACTTGACCACGTAGGGCAGCACTGAGACTCTCCCATTTGAGGTCCTGAGGCAAGTAGGATGACTGACTCTCGACTCCAAATTTGTCGGCTGCCGCACACCAGTCGTCCTGCTCTTGAACAAGCTTTGCTGCCTGCTCGAAGGCATGGCGGAACTCCCAGCTCTCGCCGAGACGGGAGAACGGGCTGTGCCCGACCTTTCCGTACACGCGCTTCGCGTTCTCTCCGCATGCCATCTTCATGTACCGCCAGTTGCGATCCGGGTCCGCCAGCATATCCTCGGCAGAAAGCTCGGTGCGGCCATCGTGCTTGCCAACGGCATGTTTAATGACAAAGGCCTCGCCTCCCATGTTATTGCCAGAGCCCGGCAGAACCAGCGAGGTAGTTACACCTCCAGACTTGATGACCTGGATCTGTGGGTCGAGGGGGTTGAGTCCATCGATTGAACGAACGTAGGGAGTAATGTCGTTGGACATCTCATTCACATCTTGGTTGCCGACGAGCTCGGGTAGGGCACCAACACCGGCGTGGGAGTGCATGTCAATAATACCGCTGGTCAGTTGGCGGCCCTTGGCGTCCCAAATCTGGGTATCCTTAGGAAGGGAGTTGAGGGAGATGTCGGCTTCGACCTTTTGGATCAGGCCGTAGTCGATGAGGACGTCGGCAGTGATCCACGAGTACCCTTTGCCGGCACGCGCATCTTCTAGAGATGTTCCCTCAACGGCCTCGCCAACCCAGATTGTGGCATTACGGATGAGCGTCGGGCGCTGGCCGTCGACAAAACGAGCGTTCTTCTCTCGACCGAGACCAATTGGATCCTGTGGCTTGTGTCGCAATTTCGCACAGGTCGCCAAGTCCTGCTGCAGACGCTCCGCAGAGAGGGAGGAGGCTGGCTCGTGGGAAGGCAGTATTGAGATCTGTTTCCATTGAGCAAAGGCGATGAACGCCAGACATCCCACGATGAGCTTCATGCTGCGTCTGGGTCGAAGCCATCGTTTGTGGTGATGAGAGTGCCGGGGGCCCGAAGGTGGCGGGAGGTCCGCGGCGCTGTACGGCGGCAACATGCCGCTCTTTTCCGAATCCATGACAACAACGTTTCGGCGTTGTTTGAAGCAAAAAAAGGTCAAGAGGCAGACGTTGAACAATTCAAGGAGCAAGGGATATGTTATATTGGCTACAGACCTCTCAGGATTGGGTTCCTGGAGAGAGCCCTTGGCCCAATCAAGAAGGTGACTGACGGTTCGGCTGGATTATCGGCCGACGTTTCAAACCCAGCGCGCAGACATCGCCGGCAACAATGAGCTTTGGGAGTATCTGGAGGGGCACACAGGGCAGTGATTGCTTCTCTTCGGTCGCGACTTCGGCAATGTGAGTGGTCAATGACATGGATGATGGTGAGAGCGTGGAGTCGAATGAGGAGCTCACCCCTGCCAGAGCTTGCGTGATTACGTAGCTGAAGAGATAAGCTTCTGCTGACTTATGAGCTCTCGAAGCATTCACGACCTTGAAGAATGATGACTAACCTCGCGACCCTTGGCTTCCTTATCTTATCTCCCAGACTCTTATCGATTGTCGGCATATCAGCTCCGATTGCGGGGTACCTTACCTTATCCGTATCTGTAGAGTCATGCACAGTCACCACTACCTTAGGCAGGGAGGCATTCACTCCCCATCATCTGCTTCATCTTTAACAAGAGTCTTTCGAGTCCACCACTACTGGCAGTGAGATGTTTTGCCTGATAATCGTGTTCTGGCTCTGCTTGGTGGGATCCCATTAACTACGTGATTGTGCGGAGACATGCCATATGCGATCCTAGTCCTCAATGAAATGAGAATGTGAAGCTAGTTACATTACCTACTCACCATCACCCTTTGAGACTCTAAAGGTGGATCCGTCGGTTCGGAAACTGAGTAAACATATATGAGGAGGTACCTTGATGTTGCGTACGCTACAGCCGGGGAAATGATCCCTTTCCGAAAGCCAGCTGAGGCAGGAAGGTCGAGCCGATGATTGAAGGTCGAGTCGGTGGTTGAAGCATTTCAGTGTTCAGGTCCTATTACGTACAACTCGATCAAAAACCTGACAACGCGACACTACAAAACGACATAATCAGATCCGTTGGAGTCGTTTTGTGGGTGGCAAGCGGCGTTTGCGGGGAAGCATCGGAGTCAGTCAACATTCCAGGCGGGAGATCTACTGCGTGATAGAATGCCACGCTATGTGCTTGATACGCTATTTACGCTGGGTCCGATGCATGCATGCAAAGTTGGAGAACACGGCATACGTTGAAGGGTCTCTTTTTACTGACCGAATGAGATGCATCTCATTGGCCCAGCCAATCGAGGTCAGACGATTGCCGGTGGTCTCAATCTATTGCCCAAAAGAGGTATCGTGGCTCTGGGGCGGGATCCCACGATTCGGAAAGTCTACCCAGTACTAGCGGAGACTTAATGTGTTCGGCTGTCTGGGCCGATAACGGTCTCCTCTTGGCTCCTCGACTTATATCAGGGATCCTCGCCGTATAAGTTGGCTGTTATCCTGAGTCACGTCAAGAGTACGTTTCTGGGCTGAAACGATTCACCTCATCCCATCTTCTTATAGTCGCTCTAAACATCTTGCTTTCTAGACTTCACATCTCAAATTATTTCCAATCGCCGATATGTTCCTCCTCTCGGCTTTGGCTGTAGCTGTACTGCTATTCTCCGCATGGAGATGGAAGTGGCGATATGCCACAAAGGTGTGCCTCCAAATCTTTTCTCACGGATCCCACGGAGACGTCTGACTGTGTAAAGGAAAAGCTCGTCGGGACTAACTCACAGGAGAAATCAGACGACAAGACCGACATAATGCCTGTGAAAGATTTTGACTGGCAGAACATCGATCCTGCCAAGCACCGGCCATTCAAGCCAGTCTATCACATCACCATGGGTACCACGAACCTCGCACAAGTCATATTTTTTTTGCATATCTAATGAGGTATCATACTAGCCATCCAAGCAAGCCCGCCTGAAGACCTCATCATTATAGACAACAACTACCTTGATCGCGTGACCGAACGTCGTCAACTTTTGGAAGAGCATACGTCAACGGTAGCGGGCGCTGTGCCAGAAGGCCTACCTGCTCTGCATGAGGTCTGGACTTATATGCTCTCAGAGTATCTGCCGAAGCGATATCCAACCATGTTCTCCTTGTCCGAGGACAAGACTGAGTTCCATAACCACGTTACCAAGACATCACTGCCCCTCGTGCCGCCGGAGGACCCCGTGGCTGCGCTCAAAGCTCTTGGAGAGACTGTGGAAGATGACATCTTCTTGCTCGTTGAGACACCAGAGGGCCATCGTTGCGTGGCGTTCGTTTGCTGCCATCCCGCTGGATTCGACCCGTCCAACAAGCTCGGGAAGCTGATGAAGGACATTCACACCCCGGTGCCGTCATATGAGAAGATTGGTGCAAGCATGGAGCGTTTTTTCTCTCGATTGCAGGTTGGGAAGAGCGTCAAGCGGATGAACGTGAGCTTGCTTGTTCTTGGATATGGAGGCCTACAGCTGATGGATGATACAGTGGTCTGTTTCGACGCACGAGAACCTCTTCAGCCCGAGCAACTTGCACATCTATGAAGGCGACAAGATGGAAGAGGATGAGGATGTCGATATTTCAAAGGTGAGAGAGCCGTTCTTAACACTCAATGTACCATATACCAGGAAGCTAATACCACCCACTTAGGCTCGTTTGCGCCAAGAACTACAAACCTTGACACGACTGCCCAAGACAGGGGCGATCATGTTCTCATTCAAGACATATCTCACGCCCATAGAAGAGGTGAAGAAGGAGGGGTGCGGGCTTATACTTGCGGACGCCATAGAAGGGTTGAAGATGGGTAATGCGCCTGGCATGTGGGTATACAAGGGGGCATCGCGTTGGGGCAAGAGTGTCTGCGAGTACCTCCGGTCATGAAGAGGCACAACTACAGAAGAAGAAGAAGAAGAAGAAGCGGGTTTGGTAAGTGGCTAGGAAGATACCATGAGGTACAGTAGCTGCTGTTGTTGTCACGAGTTATGGCACACAGCAATGGGTATACGGAGTATAGTAAAGTAGCCTAACTTATTAAAATAGAAATAGATAAAAGAGAAAGGTCTATATATAGGATATAAATAAAATATACGTAATATAGTACGTAATAAATACTTTATAGATTATAGTCCCTATCCTTATTATATAATATACCCCCTAATTATTACCGTAAAGGAGCTATTATATTTAAGATAGGACCTCTGAATAGCTTTATAAAGGCCCGATTTAGTCGAATATAAATAAAAAAAAAATAAACATAAGGGATACGCGTCTTTTAAAGCGCGTTTATTATTAATATCCCCTTTATTTAAAGTAAATAAAATCTTAACTAAAAATAGCGTATAGTTTACTACTTTTAATATATAAATTAATAAAGGCGAGGCTACTTATTTACTTTACGTATATTTAAAATCTCATAGCCTCGCTTTGCTATTATTTTTCTTTTTCTTTTTAACTTTTTATAATTATTATACGTACCCTTATTTATTATATATATACGCTAGCGCCGTTAAATCCCTTATTAATTTTATTTTAAATATAAATATTTAATATATCCGCAGTTATTAATAAGTTTTATATAATTTTTACGATATATCCTATATACGTATTATATAATTTATTAAAAGTTTAGTTAAATAACGATAGCGACGAGGCCTTTATAATTAAGTCCCCTCTTTACCCCCGCTAACTTATCCTTTCTATATATTAAGGCCCTATTACTAAGCTCTCCCTCCCTAGCTAAAAAGACGTTAAAGCTATTACTAAAAATATTAAAAACTTTAAAAAGTTTAAAGCTCTTTTTAGTAATAAAAACGTAGGCTATAATAAAAATATAGGTAGTCGTAAAAGCTCTAATAATAAGCTTTTACCTCCCTCTATTTTAAAGTCCGAGAATAAAAAAGAGTTTAAAAAAAAGGAGGATAATAATAAAAATAAAAATACGGACGACCTACTTTCCAAAAAGGGTATATCGTATACTATTTTCTTAAATATTTATATTTAATATTATTTAAATTCTAAAAAATATAAGCTCGCGGCCGCTTCTATTAATAAAAAGGGCGCTAAGAAATAAAAAAAAAATAAAAAAAAAAGAACGCTAAAAAACAAAAGCACCCCCCGTAATAAATATAGTTCTCTTCGCTTATAAAGACCTATTTAACGTATATTTAGTCCTTAAAAAGCTTAAGGGTAAGGCTCCCGAGGAGCAGGATATCTAATATATACCCTACTTTTAAATAGCCCTCTAATATACCGACTATAAAAATAGTAGTCGTTATTTTATAAAAAATAATAGCTAGTATATGCACTATTTTAACAGCTATTTAACTAAAGCTTATATTAATATACCGATTATCCTACGGCTAATAGCCTAGGCTTTTACCAAGGTAATCGTAAATAGCGCTCCCCCCTTTATAAATATATTATCATTTTTTATTATTAAAAAGCGCACTCTTAATTATAATTTTAATAAAAAATCGCTAAGCTTTATAATATCGTTTATTAAATAAACGATAATACTAAAAAATACGAGGACTATATCCGCTTCTAAATAAATAACTTTCTCCCCCTACGCCCCCCGACCCTTTTCTCAAATACGCTAATATTATCTATTATATTTATTATAATCGTTTATAATTAACCTTTTATTACCCCCCCCGCTCCCGTACCCTAAGTCGTTAATTTAATAATCGTTTTACCCCCAGCTCCCCCCGCTACCCCCGCTATTATTAACTTTATAGATTTTAAAATATATAAAGCGTAGTTCTTAATATATATAACCGGTCTTTTTATTACCGACGCTATAATTCTAATAGTTTCGTTCTTTTTAAACTAAGAATTTAATTAATAAATATAAGCCCGAGTCCTATTTCTATATATATATACTTTATAAAGTAAAGTTATTTTAAGAGTTTAGGCCTTCGGGCTAAAAAAAGTTTTATTTATTTTATTTTAGGCCTCCGGGCTATACTCTAGGTTCTATTTATAGTTTACTTTTAAATACTAAGTTTTTCT